TCTTATCTTGCCTGCTCTACCAGTAATCGTTGCAAGAACAATTCCCTCCTCTAAAATGGTGGAATCGAACTCTATCTCGCATTATGATCTCTCTACGATAGATCTGAGATATGAGCTTCGCAACGACGTGACAATCTTCACAGACCCTAAGGTTCTTTACAACTCGAATCGTTGATCCAGGTTTTGTGTTGATCAATCCAAAAGCAATAGCCAACTTTTCACTATGTTGTGCCACTGCAGTCTCTTTGGCCTCACTCTCAAGATCAAGCAGTAAGTCTTTAGTTGCAGGTTCATAACTGTTGAAGAAGAGTATTAATAATAAATCATTATTGGCTTAAGTTTATGGATTTAATGGTGTTTTAGGAGTACCCTTCGTGTTGCCGTAGCCTCTCTACAACCTGGTTTAGTTTGTGAAGAATCTGCTCCATCTGTGGATGATCTTGATGCCCAGCTAGAAATTCATGAACAACGCCATTCAAAGTTATGGAACTCTTTCCTGGAGGAATTGGGAGTCTCAAATTTTTCATTTTCAACCTCACTTCAGCTGCTTCTTTCCATTTACCTTCTGCAGCTAAAATGGTGGCCAGCTGAATATACCGCCCACTGTGATCTGAATCAACCTCCACCAGGTGGGCTCCAATTTGGCCACCTACCAGAAAGTCTCTATGGATCCTACAGGCCTGAACAAGGAGGAAGGAGTGGTAAGCTTTTGTAGATTCTCAACTCAATTTTATAAGAATAAGGTCACTGAATAGAAGAAGATTTTAAGATCCTATATCGGTTTGAAGAGGGGAACGAAGTATTCTTTACAAGAGTGTGAAAACTTATTCTTAGTACACACGTTTCAGAAACTTTGAGAGAAAGCCCAAAGAGACAATATCTGTTAGCGGTGGGTTTAGGATATTACAAATAGTATCAGAGCCATACACTCGGCGGCGTGCCAACGAGGATGTTGGGCTTCGAAGGGAGTAGATTGTGAGATCCCACATCGATTGGAGAGGGAAACGAGTGCCAACGAGGAGGCTGGCCCCAAAGGGAGGTGGACTATGAGATCACACATCGAACGAAGTTCTTAGAGATCTCACATCGGTAAATAAGGTAGCAAAGACACTAAGCCCCGAACAAAGGTGGATTGTGAGATCCTACATCGATTGGAAAGAAGAGCGGATTCCCTAGAGATCCTACATCGGTTGAAAAGGTGTACATTCTTATAACTCACTAAGTATCATCTCGAAGTGTAAATAAAACACCAAACATATGTTTGAAAACGTAAGAATATAAAAATTTTCCACATACCTTAAGCAAAGCTCCCCATATTATAGCATTAGGTTCCATGGGCATCGTCTTGATCAACTCCTTCGCTTCCTCCAGCAGCCCAGCTCGACCCAAAAGATCAACCATACACCCATAATGCTCAATAGATGGGCTCAAGTTATAAACACTCATCATGCTCTCAAATAACACTTTTCCTTCTTCAACCAGTCCGGCATAGCTGCAGGCCCTCAAAACTGCAGTGAAAGTGATGGAATTTGGTCTTATTCCTTCTCTCAGCATTCGTTTAAACCATTCCAGAGCTTCCACCCCACGGCCATGAATAGCAAAGCCATCAATCATGGCCGTCCAAACATACACATCTTTCTGATCACCCTTCAGTTTCCCAAACTCCCGTAAGGCTTCTTCCATATCCCCACATTTTAAGTACATATTCACCAGAGCACAGCCAATTACCCGATCAACATGGACTCCATTGTTGAGCACGTAGAAATGGAGCCATCTTCCTTGATCCAATGCTCCAAGATTTGCACAAGCAGTGAGCAAACTCGCAATAGCAACACCATCAAGCTCAAATCCTGCATTCTGCATCTCATGACAAAGACTCAAAGCTTCTACGTTCAGTCCTGCCTCAACAAGCCCCGAAATCAACGACGTCCAGGAGACCACATTCTTCAAGGGCATGTCCAAGAAAACCCCATAAGCCGTTTTTACGTCCCCAGATTTGATATACCCATCAATCATTATGTTCCAAGAAACGATATCTCTTTCAGGAATATTATCAAACAGTTGGCGTGCATACTGAATGTCACCACATAAAGCGTACACATGAAGCAGAGCATTCAACGCAAAAACATCCGACCCAAATCCCAGTTTGATTACCAGTCCATGTACTTGAAGGGCCTCACTCATGGCCGAAAAATTACGACAAGCTTTGAGCAAGAAAGGGAAGGTGTAGGAATTGTGCGGTACCGAAGAAGAAAGCATCTGACGATACAAAAGAAATGCTAATTCTGGTTCATTACTGTTAGAATACGCTCTTATCATGGCGTTCCACATGAAAGTGGTGGGGCTGGAGATTCCATTGAAGACCCTTTGCGCGTAATGCAAATCACCGAAATGGGGCGAAATGCAGAGGGTTAGAAGCTTGGTGGCTAATTTGGGTTCTGTCGCTGTGCCTGTTCTAATCATTTGAGCATGAATTTCTTTCAATTGCTTCATGTTTGAGCAGTTTTCGAGCAGAGACATGGTCTGAGCCCATGTCGATTGCACTGGGGACTCTGCTTTTAGAGCGAACATGACGATGATTTCATATCAACTATCCACATATACTAGGCGTTCCTCTTGGAAATTCTGAATGGATCACGTGTGTCTTGTCTGTGGCCATCAAATAACCAATTTCCATTATCTCTTTAAAGAGCAAATTTTAAAATTTACCCATTACTTAGTTCAATTGATGTAGACATATATTTCAAATAGATTTGAATTTCGTGCCTAAAACGGGCGTATATTTTCGTAGGAATTTCATGATCAGGACGATCATATAATTTTGTGTTGAAAAATGTCTGAGAAATGCTAAAAAGGGAGTAAGAAAGAAAACTTTAAATGACCAACATTGAAACAATGCAAATAAGCAATATAACAAAAATGACGGCCCAAATCCAATACACCCACTTCTTGTTCTTCCTCTTCATCTGGTTCGCATAGTAAAGGCTTCGAGTTCCGCCATTGATGAACTTCCCAGCTTTCGCCACATTCTCCTCAATGTTCTCTATCTTCTCCCCTTCACTCTCAACCAGAATCGCCATATCCAAAAACACTTGATGAAGTTTATTCAAACTCCTCTGTATATCCATCACTGACTCGTGCCTGACTCGGTCTCTCAACTCGGCCTCGCTCAAATTCCCTCCAAACGAATCCAATTTCAGACTCCCAGACATAATCTTCTCAATCTGTTCTTCACTGGGTTGTTCCTCATTTGCACTAAAATATCTTCTTCTCAAATCCTCCTTGTGATCCGCCACAACTTTTTCTCTCAAACACTGGAATTCCATCATCATTTCTCTCAATTTCACTCTCAGTCCGTTGGTGATTGAAGATCTTGTCCGGTCCACGGTGGTTCCTTCGCCGTATGCGACGGATACCAGGCGGTTGACGGCGTTGGATTGGTCGAGAGAGGCCAATTTTTCTTTAAGGAGTTTTGCTCTGCGGAGGATTGAGACCATATCGGAGTCGATTCGGTCTCTTAATCCGCGGAGGATTTTCGCGTTGTGGGTTGATTTGGCTTCTTGATTTAGTTTTTGAATGTCGTTCAAGAGATTGGTTGTCTCTTCCATTTGGGTCTTGATTTCGTCGACTTGTCCGAAAAACAGAGACAGGTTCTGTTCTTCCGTCGGATTGAGTTCTTGGCGGCCGGATTCAATGTCGAAGCCGCCGCCGCATGCGGCTTCCTTCTGCGCCTGTTTCTTCAATTCCACATAACTTAAGAACGATTTCGTCATCAAATCGTTCATCTTGGCCGATTTGGTTCTGCTCTGCAAGATTCAAGACTGTTAGCCAGAAAGAAATTCAAAAGAATTGAAAAGAAAAGGGAAGAGAAACCTACCTTGTGGGGTTGGTGGTTCAGAAATTCACAAGAAATTTGAATATTGGGGGGAGTTTTGACCAGAATTCTTATCTTTTTTTTCCCCTTACCGAGAGGTTTGTGGGTTTAAAAATGGGATTGGAATTTGAAATTTGGTTAAATTGGAGAAGTAGCCGTTGGTTCATTGAAGACAGTTACTCCACCATGATCGATCGGGCAGTTACGATGGTCGTGCAGGCGGGAAATAAAACGCCCATGACTTGCCACTGTAAAATTTATTTTGAAATTAATTTAGTTAATTAATGTTGGGGCTTTTTTTTAAATGACTAATAAATTTTGTATTAATGAATTCTTGAATTTATGAATCATAATTTAACTTTGACACGCCACGATTACTATTCTTTTTCTCAGATTTAGAAGAAAAGAGAAGAAAAGATCACCATTCCCATTCCCAAAAATATATTCTTCTAGTAATTAAAATATAATAGACAAAGTTTTGTTATAATATATTTTTTTAATATAATAATTGAATTACCATACATTTGACAAAGATTAGTGTTAAAAGATTACGTGTTAGTTCCTATTGAATTATATTCACTTTAGTAAATTAAAAATGTTAAATTAATAAAATCACCTTTCAACTTTACACTTTGTCTGAAAAATATTTCCAAACTGGTAAGAGTTTCAAATAATGCCCCTAACATTTTTTTAAAAAAAATTTAAAAATTATCTTTAAACTAAAAATGTTAAAAAGTACTCTTACCTCTGTTATTCATGGAAACGTTAACACTTTATTTCAAAAATAATTTAAAAAAAAAAATACCTTTACCCATGGTATTATGTTTCAAAACTACTCACAAATATTGAAAAGTAACACTAAAAGGTTTAAATATAATTTATAAAATGTCAATAAACAGTTTTTTTTTTTTTAAATTTTCTATATAGGTAAATGAGGTTGATATTACTTTTAAAATTTCATAAATATTTTTTAAATAATAGTATTATAAGAGTAAAAAGTTTTAGCTAATTGAAAGCATCAGTTTTAAAAAGAGAAAAAAAATACTATACTTTAGTCCAGAAAAAATAAAGACTTTATATGGAAAACATTAATTTATTCTTCATGGAGAGTATAGATATTATTATATTCTATTCGAGTAACAAAGACCCTGCTTTTATTTTCATTACGCTGTTCATCCTATTTGAATTGTCTCACAAGTCACAGCTAACAAGTGTGTCTGAAATCTATGTATTTCTGTATGAGCAGAGAACTATTAGCAGTCTCTGCAAATGTAAGCGTTAAAAGCGTTAGCTAATCCAATCATTGCTCTAGTGAAATGATATCATTTCCTTCTAAATTTCATCCAAACGCTCCCATCTGCCATGTGCAACCTATGAAGCAAAAGACTCTACCAAGAATTTGTGAAGCTGTGATGAGTATATATCAGGGTACGTCCTGTAGTGGTCAACATGCGGTGACGAGCCGAAGTTGTACGACAAAACCTTCGTTCCTGTCTTCTTCCTCTTCTCGATAAGAAGCTCGATTGACTCGAAGGGTACAACTTTATCTCCTGAACTGTACAGATAAAGCTCAGGATACGAAGGCTGGTACTCTGTAAGAAGTGAAACAATCTTCTTCAACCTCCTGCAAGGAAATGTTCATTTCTCAACAATTAATATGCATTCATATGATAAGTACATGACACCATTCGATCCTCGAGCGAAAATGTTTCCATCCATGTCTTCAAATAATAAGAAAGCTTACTTGTCGACGTCGGGAAACTTCAAAGCAACCGAGAAAAAATTCTCCAATGATGACAGAACAAAGGTTTCCAATACAAGAGGTTTCTTGTCTATTTCCTTTCCACTAACCATTGGAGATGTAGAAGAACTGTTTTTCTTGAGAATGGCTGCAGAAAACCCAGCTGCCCAAATCTGCCATTGTTCGTAGTAGAGATGAAATCATATATCAATCTTCCACTATGGATGGGATAAAATGGAAAAAGAAAAACAGATTAGATGAAAGCATCCTAGTTGTTGTAACAGCCCAAGTCTAAGCCCACTGCTAGCATATATAGTCCGCTTTGGCCCATTATGTAACGTCATCAGCCTCACAATTTTAAGACGTGTTTTAAAATCGTGAGACTAAGGGCAATACGTAACGGGCTAAAATGGATAATAACTGCTAGCGGTAGGCTTGGACTATTACAAATGGGACGGCGGACGGTGTGCCAGCGAGGATGCTGGGCCCCCAAGGGAGGTGGATTGTGAGATCCCACATCGGTTGGAGAGGGGATCGAAACATTCTTTATAAAGGTGTGGAAACCTCTCCACAACAAACACGTTTTAAAATCTTGAAGGGAAGTCTCGAAAGGAAAAGCCTCAACGAGACAATATCTGCTGGTGGTGGGCTTGAGTTGTTATGGTTGTTATCTTAGAGCTAAATCAGACGAGAAAGGCAGAAACAAATTATAAAAAAGTATTTTGCTCGGTTGCGAAATATATAACACGAAAGCATGCTATCAAATTCAGATTGGATAAAAGCCTGTTAGTTATATACTGTTGTATTAATGCTTAAACGACCTAACTAGTTGTTTGTATATGCTTCAATAGTTTATACCAAGCAAAAGTTCAACCAAAATTTGTGGTTTTGCAACCATTTAGAAGCCTTAGAAAACTGGGATCTGTACATTTTTAATGAGATCTTGGGTAAATAATCATTATCAAGATGAAAATTTGCAGGTACAATCATGGCAATCTGATCTGAACAATTTTGGAACTAAAGCAAGAAAGAAGGAACAGAGAGAAATGGAGGCTTGAGATTCAGATCATATGATATTTAAAGGGCAATAGCCAGTTCCTACTATTTTTTCACCTCTAAATCCTTCATTGTGATGATAAATTCAGAGATGGTTAAGAGTTCATTGACATGCAGATGTGTTTCCATCAGTTGAAAGAACGCAGTAAATAATTTAGAACTCCTTCTACAAATCAGTTCACAAACCTGAGGATTCAACGGATCCCCTCCTCCAGAGTCAACAATGCACCCTTTAATCTTCTCCAACAAATCTTCCCGCCCTTGCAAAATTTCAAGAATGGCTCCGTATCTGCAGAAGAAAACAAAAGGGAACAGAGCTAATTCTATGTTGACAAAAAAAGAAAAGAAAAGAAAACAGCAATGGGATACCGATAACATAATTCAACATACACAAACCAGCCCGTGTTGCTAAAAGTGTGAAAAATCAGGCGCCGATCCTTATGATTCTCTTCCCCATCTGATAACCAAGAAATGAGTTCAGTTGCCAAATCCGAAATCCGCTGCTCAACTTTTCGACTCAACGCGAACCAAAGAAACTCTCTCGGATCAAGCACAAACGTCAAGGCGTTGATACCCCTCGCATTGTACCACTCCACGTACCTCCTCAGATGCTTAGTCTTTGCCCCAAGCCAACCTAACAACACAACAGTCGCCTCTCCCTTTTCGCCCCCCAAAGCCCCCACGTTGTTTCCAATTGCACTGTCTGAAGCTCGATTCCAAGTCCAGGCACTGCCGTTCGAGTCAGATAGAAACGAATTGGAGTAATCAGGCGCGAATTGAGACCCCAAAGATTGTAATGAGGGTAAAGAAGAAAGAAAATTAAAAGCGCTGGAGCCAATAGAAGATGCAGTGGATCCAAAGGACGAGGAAGAGCAATGAGAAAGATTGAGTGAGAGTGAAAATTTGAGACCGAGGCACTTCCGAGGAGGGAAATGGAAATAGGTTGAAGATTGCCGCAAAATCGCGGTCCGATTAGATTCAGGAAATGAAACGAGGCGCGATTGAGGAATTGTCTTTGTGAAGAGGTGGCGATTAAGAACGCAGGGACGAAATGCCCTGACTGGAGCTTCCATGGCGGCGCTTCCAGTGACCACTGTGAGAAGATCGGGGAGTGCTTCAACAAAATTTCCAGCCAAATAGAATGAATTAGAAATGATACAAATAATCTTTAAAATACAAATTAAAAAACACAAAAACAGAAACAAAATTAAATGTAAAATAAATAGAAAAACAATATAAATGGTATGCACATAAACCTCACTTAATCACCATTTTCGTTTAATTGGGAAATTATCGTCCTATTTAAAGTAAACCAAATTAAGAGGTTTAAATTAATTAAAAATTTTCAACAATATTTTTAAATTAAAAAATAAAAAATACTATTTTTTTTTTTATTAGCAATCATCAATATATAGACAAAAGTCTATATAAACTCCTTCAATTTATTAAATTTGGAGAATAACCATCAAATTTTTAAAAATATTAATATTAATTTTGAAAGTTAAATAAATATTTTTTAAAATATGATACTAATATTTAAATTTCATTTTGTAATACAAAAAAAAAAAGGCTTCACGGTATGAAAATGTTCGAATCCGCAGGTAATCGAATGATAAACTTAATATATTAAAAATAAAAATAAAGCTGAAGTTAGTTCAGTTTCGGACTTGCGACCCAAGGCGTCAGTAAACGCGTCCTCAGCGCGTCTGGTTCATTACTGTCTATTTCTGTAATTCTATTCCACAATAATAATATTATTATATTTCCACTTTTACCCTCCCTACCTTTAACCAATAAATAAATTAATAAAAATTTTATTTATATATTCAATAAAAATTATTGATTCATTCCGTATTTTTTATTTACAAATCTAGAATTGAGTGTTTAGTGTCGTGTTACACAAAATTTTAATTTGTCTACATTTGTTAATTTTTAAAATGTTGAATATTTTTAAAAAATTAATAATTACAAAATTAAAAATTTAAATACTTTTTAACGTCTTAAATGTTAAATTATTAATTTAGTTAATGAACTCTCTCTCTAAACTATTAAAATGTTAAATTATAAATTTAATTAAAAAATTATAATACGTCTCTAAATTTACCTAATATTTTGAAATTTTAATTTTATATTTAATAAATCTAATAAAATGTATAATAAGTTCCTGTGGTAACAAATTATTTTTCAATTTAAAATTTTAATTTTGTATTTAATAAATTTAAGGTCGAAAATGTCTAATATTTTCAGATATTTGACACATTTTTTTTTTGATAAGTTGGAGAACAAAAACATAAAAATGAGGGACAAAATTGTAATTTAGCCCTTTTATTATCTTACATCTTCCTTATTTCTATTCGCTCGCCTTTTTTCTTCGTTCTCCAAAAACTTCTCCTCCGCTGTTGTCCACGACTGCTAAAGCAGTGCCGTAATGGCTGCCGTCGTCGTTGCGGAAGCTCCTCGCTGGATCCCAAAACGCGGCGAAGTCCTCCGTCGCGTTCTTAAAAAGCTTTTCTTCTTGTGTCTCTGTTCCGTCGAGCGGGGTTCTCCTCCGACGCTGTCCTCTCGCGTTTTCCCCCAACGAAATTAGCTCACTCGCAATCGTCTGAAGAGAGGGTTTGGTTCTGGTTGAGATCTGAGATGAAATGAGATGAGATGAGGGTGCCTTATGTGATCCTCCGTTTCTTAATCCCTAATTTCATATTCTGTTAGATTCTTTTGTTAGATTATTATTATTTCGAAATCTGTTCACTTCTTTTGTTTGCTTTGGTTATGATGTTGAAGTTGAGTTCATTGAGTTGTAAAATATGTGTCGACATTACTCGGTGTTTGATTGAGTTGGATCCAATTCCATGTTTCGGGGTTCAAGAAAATAGATTTTCCCGGAAAATTAGAAAGGGGAAAAGAATTCCCGAGAAAATCTCTCAGAAAATGGCAAATCAACGTAGTTGCATTGCCACGTTGACTGACCACAACGCCCAAACGAACCCATTTGGCTTTTCCATTTTCCAAATTAATATTTTCAATTTTCTTAACCAATTTTATTCAAATAACAAATTTAGTTTTATCTAAATGATATTTAACAAAGCCCATAATTTTTTTTATTGTGTACCGAACATATTCAAATTTTAAAATATTAATTAATCTATTAAATATAAATTTGAAATTTTAGAGTTTAAGTTTTGTAATTTAAAAGTTTAATAATAAATATAAAAAAATAAAGTCAGCCGAAAAAGAAAATATTATGAGTGGATGAATAAGTTGGGTTTAAAATTAGCTGCCATATGCAACTGCTAAAGAGGAAAAGCAAACGGTTGAAAATACCATCTTGCCCCACTTATATTAAACCTAAATTAAAGTATATGTTTAATCATATTTGTTTTAATTTTTCCATTCAATTAAAAGAAAAAAAAGTTTAGTAAACTTCGACTTTTTTTTATAAATACTTTTACATTCCAATTTCAACCTTTTAGAAAGCAAAAGTTCACCATTACGACTCATGAAAGAAATTAAGATTGTTGAATGTTGTTTAGATATTATTATGTCAATCTTTTTTGTTTTTCTGCTAATGATTTTTTTTATTTTTTTTTTACTGTTATTTACGGATAAAAATAATTTATCGATATCTTATAAATTGTCTTCAAACTTTTTAATATTGGTTTTATTTTTTATTTTAAAATATTATTAAAACTTTATGGATATTTTTTTTTACACCGAGCTTTTTATGAATTTATTTAAAAAAAAGAAGAAAATGTTTCAGTTTTGAATTAAAAAAATAAAAACTTTGCAAATTATTTATTTCCTTTTATACCTTTATTAAAAAAAAATAAAAGAAGAAAAATGATGAGCGGTCCAATCTGGTTGCTTACGCAGGAATAATAAATCAATTCTAAAAAATAAAATTAAGTTTATATATATTATATAGTTTTAATGAATTTTACTTTTAATAAATAGAAATTAAAGGCTGAACTCTCGTTGTTCTTCCAAAAAGAAAAAAAGTTCCAAATTCCAACACCAAAACAGAACTCTGACACGAGTCTTGAACCTCAACCGTAGGATTGACTCCGGTAATATTCAACGACCGAGATTGACTCGGAGTCTTCACCTTCCAAAATTTCCTCGGCATCGTCTTTTTCACCTGCTCTACTGGGAATATAATATATTGCCACAAATCAGCTCGAATCGCTTGTGCGTTTCCGAATTCAAGCTTAATCTCGACGCAGCTACTGAGTGAGTGATTAATCGTTCAAGGTTTCTTATGTTTATACCTTTAATCTGTTACTTTTATTCTGTTTCGGAGCTATTTGTGATTGTTCTTTCAGTTGTAGCGATTCAGTGAATGCCCCGTCGACCATACTCATATTTCTGATTATATGTTTAGAGAAAACGATAATCGTTCTCTCTGTTTTTCTCCGTGGGCTTTATTTGATTCGATTTGATTTCTGTGCTTTCGGCGCCATGTGATTTACTGTTGTATTTTGGTTTTGAACTTAAATGATTGATCCCATGGGGAAGTAAAACAGAGTTCATGTCTCTCGGGAAGGTGGAGGACGGAGAAGAAGGGTAGTTTTCTGTTCTTTTTTATACTTCTCAAACTGGGTAACTATTTTGGAAGCAATTTCTTGAGTTCTTCTAGTTCCCATTTCTTGCAGATTTGTCTGCCCTTTTCTTTTTCTGTACACAACTGTTGATCCGTGTGCATGAATGATACTGTTGTGTTTTCGTTGTGATTAAATTTCTTCGTAATTTGTTAGTGTTTGATTCGTTGAAAATAGTTTCATAATCTTAGATCGTAGTGTTCCTATCCGATCTTTTTTATGTTCCGATAATCTTGCCTTGTCCCTTTTTCTCTTGCTTTTTGTGCTGTATGAATCACTTCGGATGCGCTTATTGGTTCTCTTTCGACCTTTCCCTTTTGGCTCAAACGTTTAATGCCTATTTATAAATTGGAAACCAGTGTTCACGTATATAAAGCTATTGTGCTAGGTGAATATGGAAAACGATGCTGGAGAAGAAAATTCTGGATATACAGGATACTCTAGGGTTAGGCTCAATGAAAGAATCCTTTCTTCCATGTCTCGGAGATCTATGGCCGCTCACCCTTGGCACGATTTGGAGATCGGTATGTGTAATTTTCTTTTTTTTTTTTTAATGAGATTCTTCGACTGAATGTATATGGACTTTAGCTCTACGTCCTACATGCTCAAGGTTTCTTGATTTTTTCGAGGTTTTTCTATTTTGTATATCTCCGTTACATCTCGAGTACTGATGCACAATTTTGTAATTTCAGGACCCGGTGCACCGTCAGTTTTCAATTGTGTAAGGTTCTTGGGTGTACTTAAGAATTACCGCGCTAATTCTTGAAAACGTTTGGAAAAAAAAAAAAAAAAAGAATTGTTGGAAGGTGTCAAGGAGATTGGTTCTTTGAGCTGATTGTCGAGATAATCAATAAGGGAGTGCTTAAGTAGATGGGAAATTAACAATTGAATTGAGATTTATTTAAACGAGTTGCCAATTATATGAAATTATGTTATATTGCTTTCTACCGAACTCCAAACTGAGTATTACTATCTGTGTGGCAGGTTGTTGAAATAGGCAAAGGCAGCAAGGTTAAATATGAGCTGGACAAGGCCAGTGGCCTTATAAAAGTGTGTTCACCTTCGAACTCTCTTACTGTTCTTTACTTTTAGACTAAATCTAATTAGTAATGGCTACTCTCTTAGAAGTAAAACTGGCTTCATCAAACTGTTCCCGAGTTTGATGGCCTCTCATTTAGAAAGTCTGGGATAAGGGTAGATGTGTTCTGTTTGAATCAAATGAACAGCTTTTCAAAATCTCATGATCTTGCATATACAATGATTCTCTGGTTCAGAACGCCATAGGCCACACCCTTGATGCTGTTTACTTCTATAATAAATCTTCTTGACTATCAAGCAGTGTTGTTTGTTGTCGGTCTTGTGATTGTTTTGTCAACTATTCTGTGTGGAATATAGAGACATTCTTGCATACAATTTAACTGTTATAGCTCAAATATACCGCTAACAGATATTGTCTGCTTTGGCCTGTTACGTATCGCCGTCAATCTCACAGTTTTAAAACGCGTCTACTAGGAATAGGTTTTCACACCCTTGTAAGGAATGTTTCATTTCCCTCTCCAA